CCCCCCGCCATCCAGCCCCTGGTCCTCCCACAGTTCCCCTTCCCATCTTCTGTTTCTGTGTGACTCTCTGCTATCCCTTCCTAACCCTGGTCCTGCCTGGCCATACAGTGGTCTTGGGTGGCACCCCCAGCACTTGAGCACTGTCTCAGACTTCCTCAAACCCCATCTGCCTCCTGCCTCGCTTCTCCAAAACCACCATTCATCCCCTTTCCTCTGGGTGACAGGCCACGTGATCTGCTTTGCCTGCACTCTGTGTTCAGTTTCTACCCTGCCACTTCCTTGCTGTGTATTCTGGCCAGGTCACCATCCCTCTCTGAACCTCACCTGGAAACCAGACGGAGGAGCACATCCCTGCAACACTGTCCCGAGCCTCCAGTACATGACACGTGTGGAGTGGTGGGCTGGCATGGATGTGGCCAAGAGCTTGGGGACCTGACATGCTTGTGGGTTTGGGGCCAAAGACTTGGCCGCTCTCTGGGGGAGCCGAGCTTTGCTGGGCTTGCAGGCTGGCCTGAGAGCTAGCACACAAACCCTTTCCTAGGACCCCCTTGGTCCCTGGATATGAGTCACTTGGCTCTCAGCCTCTGTTCCCTTTGAGCTTTACTTTTTTTTTTTTGAGACGGAGTTTAGCTCTTGTTGCCCAGGCTGGAGTGCAATGGCATGATCTCGGCTCACTGCAACCTCTGCCTCCCAGGTTCAAGTGATTCTCCTGCCTCAGTCTCCTGAGCAGCTGGGATTACAGGCATGCACCACCATGCCTGGCTAATTTTTTCTGTTTTTAGTAGAGATGGTATTTCTCCATGTTGGTCAGGCTGGTCTCGAACTCCCAACTTCTGTTGATCCAGCCGCCTTAGCCTCCCAAAATGCTGGGATTATAGGCGTAAGCCACCTCACCTGGCCCCTCAGAGCCTTACTACACAGGCTGAGTGTGAGTCTGAACCAGCCCCTGTGCCATGGCACTGCCCCTGGGAGCCAGGCCTTGGGTTGGGGTTTCTGCAGCCTCCCCAGAGGCCTGTGGCCCTGGCAGCCCACTGAGTGGTCCCAGTGTGCCCTCCCAGCCCTCTCCTTCACCCAGTTTCAGAGCTGCCCTGGCTGTCCCCTCCCCTGCTTATTTAATGAATCCATTGTGCCCGTAAGCACAGGAGGTCTTTAGCTCCAGAAGGTGCCTGGACAGGGTCATCTTGGCCACTGGTGAAGGGATATGCTGGTCTGGCCTGTGGCCAGGCCCTGCTGGCTCAGGGGGATACTGAGAGACCTAAAGCCATGGAGTCTAGGTCTCTTCCCTATTTTGTGGGTCGGGGCAAAAGCCCTGCTGGCCCTTCTAGGGCAGGCCTGGTGGGGTGAGGATTGTGGTTGCTGCGTTTTCTCTCGTGTGTTTCCTGGGGAAGTGACCCATGGGGCCTTTCCTGTACGAACTGGCCAGAACTTCTCGGCAGTGGGAGCCGGCTTTGGGATGGGGGATGTTGGCTGCCCCATCTATCTCTGACCTTGACTCTTACCCTCTGAGCAGGCTGCTTTCCAGAGGCATCTGTGGCTCATCTCAGATGCTGGGCTGTTTCTGCAGGGAACAGGGCTGAGGAGGTTTGCATAAAGAGCAGCGGATCCCGACTGAGGAGGGTAGGAAGTCAGGCAGCAGAGCCTTAGGTGGTCCCTGCTCGCCGGAGGACTGCATTCCCCGCTGACTTGGGTGTTCATAGCCAGGATTTTAGGCCTGTGGCCTGGGAGGCTGAAGTGTGGGTGAGATTGGAGATTCTGGCTTGGGCTGGATCCAAGGAGCCCAGGGTCCCTTCTTTGAAATTTCTGAGTCTCAAGAGTGGGCCTTGCAGCCTGGAAGTGAGGGGAGGAGGGTCTGCAGATTCCAGCTACCCACAAAGTACAGGGCAGGCCCGCTTCCCCTCCTGTTCCTGATACCTTTGGCGTTGGGAGTTGGTAGCTACTGGGTGGTCCCACTGTTCCCATTTTCTCACACTTCCTGCCATTAGGATTTGGCTTTGGGCTCTTCTACTGGGGGGGATGGGAAGGGTGTCACAGACTCTGTCTCAGGCCTCCTGGACCACTGTTTCCTCTGGCTGCAAAATTGAGCCCTGTCCCCTGTCCTCCACCCCACGCCTCACCACCCCACATTCCCGCAAGTCAAAAGTGAGAGCCTATTAGGAAAGTGGTGAGGACTGCCAGCCACACCTCCAGCACACGTGCTTGGGACCAGCAGGAGAGTTAGTCTTTCACTGTGGCCAGAGGCCCGGGCCACACAGGTGGATGAGGCTCGGCCCCCCTGGGCAGCCTGGTTCTCCTTGGCTGGGGCGTAGGCGGTGGCGAGTGTCCTCTGTCCTGCCCTGTCACCTCTCAACCCCGGCCTGGAGTGAGCAGCCCCAAGCCCAACCTGAGTGACTGTGGACTTGCAGGCTGGCCTGAGAGCCTCCTTGGCATTGTATCCTGGGGGAAGGAGGCTGGCTTAGGAGAAAGTGCTTGAGGTGGGTGTGTGGTACCTGAAGAACTTGGCCATGATGATTAAGGTGGGGACACATCCCCATCACTCCATCAGTAGTGTCTACGCCAGACAGAGCTCTCTCCTAATACCCTTGTTTGGGGGTGACTTGTTGGCAGGGGTTCCCAGGCCTCCAGTTTACGCTGCGGGACCCAGAGCCCAGGCAGGTTTCGTGGGTGTCTCAGCCAAACAAGGCTGTGGACTGAACAGGATTCACCCAGCACCGCGTCGGAACTGCAATTAGAGCTCTTAATTCTTAGAGCACCTCCTGCAGGATTCCAGCTCCTATCCCTCAGACGTGGAAGCAGGATTAGAGAATTTCAGTAACATTCCCAGGGGCTCCTGTGTACCCCAGGTCAGAGGCTGACATGGACCCCAGGCTTGCCCGATCTGGCCCCTTCTCTCTGCCACAGCTCCCCCTGCCCCGGCCCGCCTCCTGGAAACTGGGTTTCTGGGCAGGCACAAAGTCTGAGAAGCCAGTTCGGGCCAGAATTAGGTCAGATTTCCCTGCTACAGCCAAAGAGGAGCCTCCGAGTCCCCCTGGGTCCAGCAGCCCTTTATCTCGAAGCAGATGTGTGGATTCCAGCTCTCATGCTTCCCACCCCACCTGCCCTTCCCCTGCAGTGGGGCAGCTTTGGGCCTGGGCTGAAGACCTGGACACCCATCCCAGCACTGTCACTGACCAGCTGCGTGACCCCCGGCAATTCCCTGCCTTCACTGAGCCTCCGTCCCCTCGTCTGTAGAATGGGACGATACTACGAGCGCTGTTGAGTTTTTGTTTGTTTGCTTGCTTGTTTGTATTGAGGTGAAGTTTTGCTCTGTCACCCAGGCTGGAGTTCAGTGGCACAATCTCAGCTCATTGCAACCTCCGCCTCCTGTGTTCAAGTGATTCTCTGCCTTAGCCTCTCTTGTAGCTGGGATTACAGGCATGTGCCACCACGCCTGGCTAATTTTTGTATTTTTAGTAGAGACAGGGTTTTGCCATGTTGGCCAAGCTGGTCTCAAACTCCTGACTTCAGGTGATCCACCTGCCTCGGCCCCTCAAAGTGCTGGGATTACAGGCATGAGCCACTGTGCCGGGCTCACTCCTGTAGGCTGATGAGAGAGTTTTAAAGGAGATAGCGTGGCCAAAGACCTGTGTAGAGTCTGGCAGTGTGATTCTCTGGGGCACAGACTCTAGCCCAGGGCACTGCCATGGCACAGTGAGCTGGGGAGTGGCTGCCATAGCTCTCAAGCCTCGGGGACCTTGCTAACAAGACTTCCCCAAACAAGGGTATTAGGAGAGACCTGTCTGGCATAGGCACCGTTGACGGAGTGATGGATATATGTCCCTACCTTAATTCTCAAGGCCCACATCCCTGCCAGGCAGGACCCAGCCTGAGGAGCCTTGAGGCCACACTCTGGGCCGGTTCCAGAGTGGAGGGCAGGTGGGGCTGGGCAGCTGGCCGGGGCTGAGTGAAGGGACTCATTGCTGGAAGTGGGCTCCTTGCTGAGGCCTCTGGGGGCCCATGTTCTGTGTGATAACCAAGGGAGAAACTGAGGCTCAGGGGCTGCTTGGCAGCCTTCCCAAGGTCCTGAGGACACGGAGGGGAGACTGGTCCGCAGACCTGCCTCTCACTCCTCCCTCTGCCTCCCTCAGCTGTCCTGAGTCCCACATTCTCCTTGGCCTTGCCTTCCCCCTCTGGTGCAGCCTCTCTGGGCCCCTCCCCCCAACTTCCCCACCGTTACCAGTGGCTGGCCCAGCCCCCATCCCCAGCCCTGGCTGCTGCTGCTCGAAGCTGCTGGCTCAGGAGCCTCCAGCTTCTGCTGACTGAGCGAGTCCAGAGGTGCTGTCTTGGCACAAAACACCACTGGCCAGGCCCTGGCCCTCCCTTCCCTCTCCAGGGTCCACTTTGGAGTGGGGAGTGGGGATGGGGGGAATGGGGCCCCACACCACCTCCAGGGTCTTCAGCTTCAGGGAAGGGAGGGTCTTGAGGCCCAGGGAAGGGGCATTTGCCTGAGGTCACAAGGCAAGCCAGGGGAGAGCTGGGACTGCTCCCCACCAAGTCCAGGGGGACAGGAAGTGGGTCTGTCTTGCCCACGCTGTTTGCAGAATCTTCCTGCCTCAGCCCTGCCTGCCCTGGCCTCATCCTTCCTCTCCTGTTCACCCCAGAGGGGTCAGAATTCTCATTAACCGTATCAGTGAGGCAGCTCCTGCCTGAGTGTGTCCCGGGTACCAAGGTTTCACCCACGTCTCCTCTGATCACTCAGTGACCTTTGAGGTAGGGCCATTGAATTGGCTTCACTTCAGACTAGCAGGACTCCTGTTCTCAACCCGGATGCATTTACAGTCATCTGTTAGACAAACACGCTGACCACCTACTGTGTGCTGAGCACCTAATGCGTGTGCCAAACACAGCCCGCAGCCCTGGGCTGGAGGGGATGATTGGCAAAGAGGAATGAGCCTCTTGCCTCAAGAGATCTTGTGCTTAGACATTTGCCCTTGTAACAACGCTGATTGTAGCTGGTAGTGTCCCAGTTTTCAGATGGAAAGGCTGAGGCTCCAGTGTCAGGCACATTGCCCAGGGGTGGTTTCTGGGCTCAGCTCTCCAGGCCTCAGGACCCCACCTTGAACCTGCTGATACCCTTGTTTGTCTCCAGCCCGCCCCAGCCAGACCAGGGCCTCCCGCCGTCCCTCGCAGCTGTCCCGGTCTCCTGGAAGAGCACGGGCCCCTGCCAAGGCCACAGGGAGTCCCCAGGAGCCCTGGTGGAGACCTCCGCCGGGGAGGAGGCCCAAGGCCAGGAGGGCCCCGCGGCCGCCCAGCTGGACGTGTTGCGCCTGCGCAGCTCTTCCATGGAGATCCGAGAGAAGGGCTCCGAGTTCCTCAAGGAGGAGCTGCACAGAGCGCAGAAGGTGGGTGCCTGCAGCAGGCGGGAGGGGCCTTGGTGGGGGAAGTCAGCTTGGAAGAGCTGTGGGCTCTCATCAGGTGCCCAGAGATGTGCCCGAGGAGAGGGATGTACACTCACCAAGGCCAACTGCAGGCCAGGCCTGTGCTGGGCACACCGGCGGGCACACCCATCTTGACTGTCTGCAAACCTGCCCTGAGCCCTAATGGACTGGCAGGCAGGGCTTCAGCTTCATGCTGTGGCTAAATGGAAAAAGCCTCACGAACTGTCAGACACCGGAGGAAGTAAGCTCTGGGCCCCACATGAGGTGACGGGGGATGCAGCCTGGTCAAGTGGGCCTGGTCCCTCCTGTGCCAAGCCTGGGGATGCTGAGGGGCTCGGGCGCCTGCCTCTTTTCCTCCAGGAGCTGAAGCTAAAGGACGAGGAATGTGAGCGGCTGTCCAAGGTGCGGGAGCAGCTGGAACAGGAGCTGGAGGAGCTGACAGCCAGCCTGTTTGAGGTACACCTGCTGGGCGGCGGGAACCACTTGGGGAGTGGGTCACCTGGGCACCCATCGGCTCCTCGCCACTCACCCAGGGACTGCTTCTTCCTAGGAAGCTCACAAGATGGTTAGAGAAGCCAACATGAAGCAGGCGGCATCAGAAAAGCAGCTGAAGGAGGCTCGGGGCAAGGTGAGGCCCGTTCCTGCCTGCCCAGGCCAGCTGGGCACCCACCCTGCCTCCTGGCTCAGTGAGCACTGAGCTCCGCCACCCAAGGGGACACTCGCCTGGTTCGGTGGGGCCAGCAGGACTGGGTGATCCCAGGCCCAGGGAGGAAAGGGAGGGTAGGGGGTCTGAGATCACGTGGCCCAGCGCCCCGGGACCCCATCAGTGACTGCTGCACGACACAGCCTTTTCTGGGGCCTTGCTGGGGCTGGGACACCCTGTGGCTTCTGCACTTTCTTCCCTCTCCTCCCAGCCCCACCTTACAAAGCAGAAATCCCGTGCAGTGTGGCTGTGTGAGCCTGGGGAATTCGCTTTCTCTCTCCAAGCCTGGTTCTGCATCTGCAAAGTGGGAGCCCTGGGCCTTTCCTGGCTCCTGGGGGCCCCCAGAACACTCAGTGGGAGGCCCAGCCAGCTCCCAGACACTTGTTCCTAACAGAAACCTGCTCACAGCGTGACCTTGGGCAGGCCGTGTCAGCTCAGTTTCCCTGTCTGTAAAACGAGTGTCTGGGTCTCTCCCTAGAAGGCTGTTCTGAGGGTGTCGGGTGGGACCAGGTGCTCATTGCTACAGGAGTGTGTCGTCCTGAGTTGGGCTGATAGGCGGTGGCAGCCAGGGTGGCATGCAGCCTGGGTTAGGGTTGACAGGTGTCCCATCCCTTGCAGATCGACATGCTGCAGGCAGAGGTGACAGCCTTGAAGACGCTGGTCATCACGTCCACACCAGCCTCTCCCAACCGCGAGCTTCATCCCCAGCTGCTGAGCCCCACCAAGGCCGGGCCCCGAAAGGGCCACTCTCGCCACAAGAGCACCAGCAGCACCCTCTGCCCCACCGTGTGCCCTGCTGCAGGACACACCCTCACCCCAGACAGAGAGGGCAAGGAGGTGAGGGCGGGAGGTGGGCTCTGGGCACAGGGAAGGGTGGCAGTGCCTGCGGCCAGCAGGGTCACAGCCCAGTGAGGACCAGCCTGCCCCATGCTGCTTTGTGACCTGGAGGCTGCCCTGCACCTCTCTGGGATGTGAGGGCTGGGCGGGTCCTTTCTCCCCAACCTCCTGTGATAACGAGGCATTGGCCCGCAGCCTCCAGGGTGTGCCCTCTTGGGGCCTGATGCCCCCTCCCTGCCCCGCTGATTCCAAGCAGTAGGTAGTGGTCTCTGCACCTGAGGCTGGCTTTGGGCCTGAGGGTCTGGGGCCTCTGCTGAGACACACACTCCCTTGGTCAAGCAGGGGCCAAACAGGGGCCCTGGGCCTTCAGGGACAGGCTGCCTGGACCCTGTGTGGCTATAGCCTTGAGGCCTGGTACCACCTGGTGACAGCCCTGTGCTTGAGGGGTTTCTGGCGCCCTCTGACGGTGGGGCCGAGACAAGGATGGCCTTTGGAGGGGTGTCTCTGTCCCACCTCAGCTGACCACACTGGGTGCTTGGTCCAGGCTGGGCTGACACTCATGGTCGTGGGTCTGTAGGCAAATGAGGCCACCTGTCAGCACCTCAGCTTCCTCACCTGATGAATGGGGCCTCCTGGGGCTGCCGGAGGAACCAAAGAGACAGGGACATCAAGGGCCAAGTTTGGGGCTACAACCAGGGAGTGCTTCAGAGGGCTGTGGGTGGTGCCTGCAGCTTCCTGGGTCCCTGGCGCCAGCCCACCTGGCTCCATCCTGGCCTCTGCCCACCCAGCTCCATCCTGGCCTCCGCCTCTGTCTCCGGGGCCTCCAGGGAAGACGTGCAGGCCCTTGTCCACCTCCTAAGCTCTGAGCTTCTGAATGAACATTAACCTCTCCTCCTTCCTCCTGTCTCTGTGCACTGTCTGTCTGTCTGTCTGTCTGTCTCTCCTGCCCAGCCCGGGCTGCCCCCGCTGCTCTCCCTGCTCCTCTGCGTGGTCCCCAGCAAGGCGGTTCACCTCACCTACGAGCCGGCCTGGCCGCTCCCACCTGGGGAGCCCCCAGCCCCCGCCTGCACTCCCTCTCCCTCCTTTTCCCGACAGGTAAATGGCTCCTGAGAGGGGTCTCCCATTGTGCCCGCCCCCAGCCTCCCTCCCTCTGCATGCGGCCTGGGGCAGGCCAGCAGTTGCCTCTGAGGCGAGGGCCCAGGGCAGCCTGTGTGCGTCCCCTCCTGTGTGTCCGTGCCCGTGTGTGCGTGTGGACCCGCTGGTGCCTGAGGCCTCCTGCCAGTTGCTCTTTGACTTTTCCTCCTCAAGGAGGCAGTGAGGGTCTTCAGGACCAAGCCCTGCACCCCACTCTAAAAACCTGTAGCGCCCGGAAACTTAATGCCCACCTGGAAACAAAGCTTTTAGTTCTAGGCTGGGTGCAGTGGCTCACGCCTGTAATCCCAGCACTTTGGGAGGCTGAGGTGGGCGGATCACCTGAGATCAGGAGTTTGAGACCAGCCTGACCAACATGGTGAAACCCTGTTTCTACTAAAAATACAAAAATTATCTGGGTGTGGTGGCAGGTGCCTTTAATCCTAGCTACTCGGGAGGCTGAGGCAGGAGAATCACTTGAACCCAGAAGTGGAGGTTGCAGTGAGTCCAGATTGCGCCATTGCACTCCAGCCTGGGCAACAGAGTGAGACTCTGTCTCAAAAAAAAAAAAAACAAAAAAACTTTTAGTTCTAAATTCTTTGGTGCAAAGGGCAGAAGGGAGTTCTGCTGCTGCTGGACTTGGCTTCCCTGCCCGGCTGCTGGGGACCGACCTGCTGGCTTGCTGGGCCCTCCCCACGTCTTCCCTCACTCCCCTTCAGCTCAGCCTGCATCTTCCATGCTGGCCCTAGCATGCTGACTGCCCCCACCCCGCTCACCCTCCCCCACAGGTGGACACAATCCTGTTTGCAGAGTTCCAGACCTGGAGGGAATCACCCACCCTGGACAAGACCTGCCCCTTCCTGGAAAGGGTGTACCGGGAGGACGTGGGTCCCTGCCTGGACTTCACGATGCAGGAGGTGAGGCGTGGCAGAGAGGGGCCAGCTGGGGGGTCCTGCCCCTCTCCCAGGGCCCAGCCGCTTACCACCCTGCCTGCTGCCCCGGTCTGCCATAGCTCTCGGGGCTGGTACGGGCCGCCGTGGAGGACAACACGCTCACCATCGAGCCGGTGGCTTCGCAGACACTACCCGCAGTGAAGGTGGCCGAGGTTGATTGCAGCAGCACCAAGTAAGCTGAGGGTCTTAGCTCCTCCATGCACTTTCAGGAAAGCCCCGCCAAGCCCGAGGGGTGGTCAGGGATACAGCAGCGCCTGATGGGACAGGGACAGGGCTGCCCCTCGCAGGCAAGGAGGCAGTTTGGCGGGTTTCCTGTGGACCCCCAGGCTCTCTACAGAGCCCGGGAGCTGGGGTCTGCCTCTTCCTGACTGGCCTGCCCTGAGCCCTCCCCTCCTCTTCGTTAACCATGAGTGACAGTTGCTGGCTCTGCCCCTGCCAATAAGTAACGCAGTAGCCCTGGCATTTGTCCTCCTGATACTCAGCGGGCATTGAGCAGGGGAGCAGCAGAACAAAATAGCCAGGTGGAGCAAGGGGCAGAAATTGGGGAGGATTTCGCCTTGGCAGCCAAGAGCTGGCTGGGGAGGGCTGATGCCCTGGTGGGAGGCTCATGATGGAGAGGGAGCATTTGAGCCAGGTTTTAAAGGATGAATAGAAGTTTGCCAAGCAGGGAAGGGCATTTCAGGTAGAGGGAACAGAATGTGCAAAGGTATGAGAAGCTGGGGTATTAACAGAAGCACCACTGGGTATCTGGCTAAGCAGTGGGGAGACAAGGAATTGGGGCTGAGGCTGCAGAGGCTGTTAGGGTCAGAGTATAAAGAGGCTTCACAGGTTTGGGCTTTAACCCACTAGCCAGTGCTGCAAAGGTCATCAGTAGGGCAGGCGCCGTGCGTCACGCCTGTAATCCCAGCACTCTGGGAGGCTGAGGCCGGTGGATCACTTGAGGGTCAGGAGTTCGAGACCAGCCTGGCCAACATGAAGAAAACCCTGTCTCTACCAAAAATACAAAAGGTAGCCAGGTGTGGTGGCGGGTGCCTGTAATCTCAGCTACTCAGGAGGCTGAGTCAGGAGAATTGTTTGAGCCTAGGAGATGGAGGTTGCAGTGAGCTGAGATCGCACCACTGCACTCTAGTTTAGGTGACAGAGTGAGGCCCTGTCTCAAAAAAAAAAAAAAAAGTCATCAATTCTGAAAAGAAACTCTCTGGTCCATCAGAGAATCACAGTGAATCAGGAGGCAACAAATGCTCTGATAAGTCCTGCAGCCAAGGAGCTTTTTAAATCTTCTTTTATTTGGGATTCTCCCTATTTCCTGGGAATTAGGAAAGCAAGAGGGGAAGATGATGGGTTAGACTTGGTTTTTGGAGGAGCTCCTGGCTGTGATGTGGAGAAGAGAGATGAGGCAGGCAGCTGGCCAGAAGGAGCCAAGGGGATGGATGCAGGCCAGAAGCCCTGCCACCGTGCCCTGGCCTGGGGATTTGGTGACCAAGCGGAGGGTGAGGAGGAGAGAGCTGAGCAGGCAGTGGCCAGGGAGGAGCAGGTTTGGGGAGTGGGACCCAGAGGGGCGTTGCTCAGGGCCTGCAGAGACCCTGCATGTGGGTGGCTGAAGATGCTGAGGTCATGCAGGACTTGGGGGAGGAGAGAAGAGGGCATGAGAGAAGGCTCTTAGACGGGGTTGGTTGGCACGAGGCTGAGAACGTGCGGGTTAGTGGGGTCAAACAGCCTGGGTGCAGGGGAGCTGCTGGGTGTTGGGAAGCGGGAGGCAGCCAGACCTCAACACTGGCCTAGCTGGGGGAGGAGTGCCTGGTCTGACTCCCCAGAAGTGGAGGGAGAGGCATTTGCAGAGCCTGCAGAGGGTGGGGCTTTGTACCCCTGGCATGAGATTCATCAAGCTCTCCTGCCCAGTAGGGGCAAAACAAGGGTCCTAGGGGTGGGGCTCAGCTGGGTTTCAGGTCTGTCCCAGGGATGGCTGGGGCCAGCTCCCTCTTCTGCCAGGCCCTGGGCTCCTTTGAAAGCTGGGTGTGGGAAGGGAGGCCTGCCCCTCCCTCATGTATCCTCTCAGCTGCTGCGTCTTCCCTGCATGCACAGGTGGGGGGCTGGTGTGGGGGGTGAGGCCCAGCCAGGCCCCATGACCCATTTTGCTTTCCCCCAGCATGTGTGCCCTGAGTGGGCTGACCCGCACCTGCCGCCACCGAATCCGGCTCGGGGACTCCAAAAGCCACTACTACATCTCACCATCTTCCCGGGCCAGGGTGAGTCATCCTCTGCAAGGGTTACTTGGCTCCTTTGGGGCCACCTGGGTGCTGGGACTCTGGGCCCTAGGCCTGGGAGTACAAATAACATTACACCTGGAGTTATTTATTTTTATTTATTTATTTTTTTGAGACGGAGTCTCACTCTCACCCAGGCTGGAATGCAGTGGCACAATCTCGGCTCACTGCAACCTCCGCCTCCCAGGTTAAGCAATTCTCCTGCCTCAGCCTCCCAAGTAGCTGGGCCTGCGGGCATGCGCCACCGTGCCCGGCTAATTTTTGTTTTTGTAGTAGAGATGGGGTTTCACCATGTTGGCCAGGATGGTCTCGAACCCCTGGCCTCAAGTGATCCACTGTGGCCTCCCAAAGAACTGGGATGACAGGTATGAGCCACCGCACCCAGCCTTACACCTTGATTTACAGAGCTGGGTACAGTGCAGGCTGAGAGGCAGAGACTGACTCGGGCCACACAGCCACGCCAAGGGCAGTGGTTGCTGTCGCCGTGTAACAAGTTACTGTCAACCTGCTAGCTTAAAACAGCTCGCAATTCCCCGTGTCAGGGGAGCTGCTTACTGGATTCTCTACTCAGGGACTCGCAAGGTCGCAGTAGGCTGTCAGCCGGCTGTGTTCTTTTCCGGATGTTAGGGTCCTCTTCCAAACTCACACGGCTGTTGGCAGCATTCAGATCCTTGTGGTTGAAGGACTGAGGTCCCTGCTTTCTTGCTGGCTGATGGAAGGGACACCCTGAGCCTCTAGAGGACACTCGCAGTCCCCTGCCACAGGGCCTTGTCGCCCAGGGCGGCTGACCTCAGAGCCATCGGGAGGGCCTCTCTCCAGTCGGCTCAGATGCAGCTTTATGGATGAAATGTGGTCAGGGAATGGCGTTGCCCCTCTGTCATTCGATGTCACCTAATCCAGGAGTGGTGCTAGAGTTCTGGTTAGAGCATGGGGCTCCTGACTCCCAGGCTCAGGTGCTGGCCGGGGCTTTGGAGAAGGTTCCAGAGGTGCATCTGGTGCACGAGCCTCATGTTGGCCCGACCTCACTCTGCTCTCTTGAACCTCCCTGTCTTTGCCAGGCCACCGCTGTCCTTCCGCTCCCCAGCCTGTGGGTACCCCTGTCACTTGACATCCCTCCCCAGGAGTGTTGGATGCTCAGTAGGGCTGTTGTGGGCGGGCACAGCTACCGGCCCCCTTGCACCCTGTCTCAGCCTGGGTTCCCTAGAAGCACGGCCTCACCTGGGGATTGTGTGCCCATCTCAGGGGAATGAGGGGAGGGAGGGAGGAGTCCAGCCAGGATGTGGCCTCGGCTGCTGCCCACCTTCAGCCCCATCCACCAGGCTCTTAGTAGAGTTTGTTCCACCCTGAGGAAAGGGGACTGGCCTTTCTATCGCCACACGTCAGTCATTGGCTGAGGTCTGCAGAGGGAGGGGGGCACCTCTGAGCCATTAGTGCCCCCACTTTCTGCAGCTGGGAGATGGGTCCCGGGCCTGGGAAGGGGCCCTGGGCCAGGCACCAACAGTGCCTTCTCTGAGCCAGCACAGGGTCCCCAGGAGCCTGGCAGGGAGCAGGCCTGAGACCCCAGGGCCTGGGCAGTCCGGGTGAGCGGCTTCTGACCCTGTGCCTTTCCCGACGTTATGAGTAGCAATGGACTGAGGCCTGGATGGCCCAGACCTCGGCACCTGCAGCAGGCAGGCCCGTGAGAGGGCAGCGTAGACTCTGGGACAGGCTGTCCCGTTCGTTCTGGCTTCGTCAGCCCCGCCATCCCCGTGATGGACGCCAGCGGCTTCCTCCTGGGTGGCCCTGCATTCCCCCGTGCAGGGTGCAATACTGAGCACATCTGCTGCATTCGCTGCAGGCGCTTGATTAAATGGTTGCTGCTGCTGCTGCTGTTAGGAACAGCACTAGTGAGACTGTTGTTGATTACCGCTTGAAAGCCCAGTCCCAACTGAGTCAGGGTGCACTACCTGGCTCTGCGGGGACCTGGGACCTCCTGCTGTGGACTGAGATCCACTTGTCAGGGGACTCCGAGTGTGGGGCTGGCCGGTGACACCATCCCCGCCTCTGCCCACAGATCACCGCAGTGTGCAACTTCTTCACCTACATCCGCTACATCCAGCAAGGCCTGGTCCGGCAGGACGGTGAGCTCCCCCTGGTGGCCCGTGCAGGGATGGCACACGGGAGCAGGGCTGGGCGGGGAAGCTCCCTCTGGGCCCACCTGCCCCTACTGGAGGCAAGACTCAGCTAGGATGCCGGGGAGCCGGGAGGATTGTGGGTTATTAAGGGGCTCACAGGCCTCCAGGGTGCTGAGCTCTGTACCTGGGTCTGTCCGGCTGGTCTTTCTCCTGGCCCCAAATCTCTCAAGATTCACAGGGGGCCACCCCTGTGAATCTCTCCCTGGCCTTTGTGTGGCCACCTCCTCCTGGGCACCTGAACACAGGCTCGCCTGCCTCCTGCCTTTGCTCCCACTTACTCCATGCTGGACAGGTCCTCCCTCCACCCCTCTCCACACAGTGCATTCTGCAAGGCCTGGCTCCCTGCTCCTCCACCAACCTTTGTTCCCTGCTGAGTCTTCTCCTGAACCAGCCTGGCCTGACCCTCTGAGTCAGGAGCATCCTGAGGGTCAAGTCCCCTTGGAGGCCAAGGCCAAGGCATGCTGGGTGTTGACGCCTTCCAGGTCCCCTGATGGCTCTGTGGACCCCGCTCAATGCGCAGGGTCCTTGTGAGACCCCAGGGAGGCATCTGTGCCTTGTCTAATGCAGTTTCCAAGTCTGGGCCGCTGCTGTCGTTTGTGGCAGTGTGTGCCTGCACGTCTGCGTCGGGCTGTGGGGTGACCGTCAGTGTGGTGCAGACAGGACCCCGTGGGTGGTCAGTGCTCAGCGGTTTCCAAGGCTCAAGAGTAGAGCCTCAGAGAGGTCCAGCCACTTGGCAAGGTCATCTGTTTTGGGGGCCAGGGGCCCTAGAGTGCTGTGCCAGCTGCCCTGTCCAAAGCCATGGGAGGGGACCAAGCCGTCTGCCCAGGGTGACCCTGAGCTGTCCCCGACCTGTTCACCCTCTCTCTGTCTGCAGCAGAGCCCATGTTCTGGGAGATCATGCGGCTTCGGAAGGAGATGTCACTGGCCAAGCTCGGCTTCTTCCCCCAGGAGGCTTAGGGCACAGCCCAGGCCTGGAGGGAGCTCTGAGATGGAGCAAACACCCACCCCAGAGCGAACAGACACGCAGGGAGCCAGAGGCAGAACAGATGGACAGACAGGCCGCAGAGGCAGCCCTGAGCCAGCACCACATGTCCATCCTGGGACAGACAGAGGGACAGACGGGCCTGGACGTCACGGGAAGAGCCCTCTCTCTTCCCAACTGGGTTCTGCCACCACCAGGAGGTTTTCAAGAAAGCACCAAAGACCAGGGAGCTCGGATCCTTACTCGGGGGTCCTCAGCCCTTGGGAGGGGACACCTGAGGCAGCCAGCATCCCCCTCCCCAGTCCCCAGAACCGCCTGCAGGTGCCTTGTTGCCAGCATGTAGTCAGAAAGGGACTGTCTGGGTGGCTGGATCTCCGGGGTACCCTCCGCCCCAGCTGCCAAGCCCTGGGCCAGCAGCGCCCCCTTGTGGCCATCCTGTGCCTTGTTCTCGCTGGCTTCCCTGTTGGACTGCTAGGAGGAGCTGGCGGGGCCTCCACAGCACAGAACTGCCCCAAAGCCTTGTTAAGATGAATCAGGGCCCCTCCCCTTCCCTTCTTCTCCCACTCCCTCCTTTCTTCCCTTCCTCTCCCTTCATAAAGGCCTCCCTTGTCACCTCCCCTCCCACCCGACTCAGCCCTGTGCTCCTGGAGGCCCTGCTCCCAAAACCGCTGGAAGGCTTGGGGCACTGTCTCCCACAGTAGAACACACACAGGGCTTCAGATCGCCCACGCCTGTTTTCCGCTGTGGGTGGCCATGCAGACACCCGCCCTGGCTTGTGGGGCCTGGGTGGGCAGGCAGGACCTGGGCCCTCCCACCCATCAGAGCCCACTTGGGACCAGACCAGGGTTAGGGTCTCCCACCTGGACACATCCCTCACCACGTCCAGATTTCCTTCTTCGGATAGAATGTAACACGATCTCTATTTAATAAAGGAAGGCTTTGTTGGTACAGGCTGGGTGGCCACGCGCCCTCACTCCTGCACCCTGGGGCTCCAGCCAAGGCTTGGGCATCTGAAGGAATGAAACCAAATCCTTTCCCTGCCCGCCCTCGTGCTTGGGATTAAACCCAAATCCTGAAGCCACCCCACCTCCGCCATCACCACTGACTTGCTGTGGAGAGGACTCTTTTGAGTCCTCCCTTAGTATTCAGAGGAATGTGGGTTCCTGGGGAATGAGCCAGGCCTCCCTCTCCCTGTGACTGGTGGCCTGCTGTTGGGAAGAATAGCACCAAAGTTGGCTCTGCCACTGCCTCACTGTGGTATCTTAGGCAGGTCCTCCTCTGGGTCCCTTGCCCCCAGCAGTGGCCCACTCCAGGCTTGTAGAAGCCTGCAGCTCAGAGGCAAGGTATCCAGGCTGCCTGCTGCTCAGCATGACAGTGGCAGGATTGATTGGTGATGTCTGCTGGAAGCACAGTTGGGGACCGTGGAAGCTCTGGCTTTTCCAGCCCAGGTCTTGGGCTCCTGGCAAGGGGCAGCAGTTGCAGGTGGAAGAGGTGGGGGTGGCCAGGACCTCTGAGAACCCAGAGTGGGGCTGGGAAGGTGTCTTGTGGTGGCTGAGTCCCTCCGTATCTGGAGGGATGTGGGCCCGGGCCAGTAGTTGCTTTCCTGGGGTGGTGGGGAGCACAGCAGCTTCTGAGTTGGGTCAGTGTCTGCTGGGCTGATGGCATCTGTGGGGACTTCCCTATTGGCCTGAGGCCTTGGTGCCACACTGCTGGTAGGTCAGACCAGCTGTGGACTGGCCAGGACCGCATGAAGCCCTCCACCCATGCTAGGGACTCCTGTGTTTGAGCTGAGAATGTCCAGTGTGGAGACTGACAAAACACCTACCAGCAACACACGCAGGGTATCAGATGGAGGAGAGGAAAGCAGGCAGGCGAAGGAGGGTGTCAGAAAAAGGCACGAGAGGCCATGTTCCCTGCTGTGATCCCAACTCCTGTGTGGCAATCACTTTCCTCTGTGTCAGGCCTGGGTCTGCTGGGGGCCAAAGCAAGTTGGAGGTCTGGGCCCTGGAGCCGTCCGTCCTACCCTCAGCTTCCGTGCTCCTGGCCCAGCCACACCCAAGACCTAGGAGACAACAGGCCACACTCCAGGGACTTCCCAGAGGGTCCCACACTTCAGACCTGCTCTGCCTGCCCCTCAATAGCATCGCCTGCTGTCAGCCCCCCGGTGGGGTGATAAACAGAACCAAAACTCCTGCAGGATGCACATACTCACCTCATTATCTCCCAACCAGAGCTAAGAACAGCACTGACTGCCAGGTGTGATTCTAAATAAACCCTTCAGATCTAATTCATTTCATCCTCACAGCACCTTATAAAGTACTGTTCTCCCATTTTGCAGATGAGTAGAGTGAGGCCAACAGAAGTGACACAGAGGAAATGGTGGCCCCAGGACAGGAATCATGAGCCCAGCCCTGGAGCCCACAGCAGGAACCAGCATCCTAGAGCCCTTTCCTGAACAGCTGCAGGGTGCTTGGAGGTGGCTGGGGAGGGTTAGCTGACACCAGCCACCGGGGTTCCTTACATGGGTTTTCTAGATAACCCACTTGGGCCTCTCTGAGTGCCCCTGGCGCATATGAACATTTTTTTTTGAGGCGGAGTCTCATTCTGTCACCCAGGCTGGAGTGCAGTGACGCGATCTCCGCTCACTGCAACCTCTGCCTCCCGGGTTCAAGCGATTCTCCTGCCTCAGCCTTCCGCGTAGCTGGGACTACAGGTGCGTGCCACCACGCCTATCTAATTTTTTGTATTTTTAGTAGAGATGGGGTTTCACCGTGTTAGCCAGCATGGTCTCGATCTCCTGACCTTGTGATCCACCCACCTCAGCCTCCCAAAGTGCTGGGATTACCGACGTGAGCCACCATGCTCAGCCCCCACCCTCCACCCTCCGCCAACCATTTTTAAGTGTATAGTTCAGTAGCGTTAAGTCCATTTACAGTGTTGTAAAACATCTCCAGAACGTTTTCATTTCACAAAACTGAGACTCTGTACCCATTAATTAACCCCCTATTTCCACCTCCTCCTACCCCAGGCAACCCCCATTCTACTTCCTATGAATTTCACTGTACTAGGGATGTCATTTAAGTGGATCATGCCGTATTTGTCCTTTCATGACTGGTTTATTTCACTTAGCATAATGTCCTCAGTGTTCATCTGTGTCGTAGCATATGATGGGATTTCCTTTCTTTTTGAGACTGAATAGTATTCCACTGTACGCATAGACCACGTTTTCTTTATCCAGCATCTGTGGATGGACAGTGTGCTGCCTCTACGTCTTGGCCGTTGTGAACAGTGCTACTAGGAACATAGACGTGCAAATCTCTCCTCAAGACTCTGCTTTCGGTTCTTTGGGTATATGCCCAGAAGTGGAATTGCTGAATCATATGGTAGTTTTATCATTATTTTTTAAAGACATTTTTAGACTCTTTTCTGTAGTTGGCTGCAGCATTTCACATTCCCACCAACAATGCACAAGGGTTCCCCATCGTTGCCAACACTTGTGATTTTCTTTATTTTTTGAGGCCAGGTCTCTCTCTGTCACCCAGGCTAGAGCACAGAGGCATGATCTCGGCTCACTGCAACCTCTGCTTCCCAGCCTTAAGCGATCCTCCTACCTCAGCCTCCCAAGTAGCTGGGACTACAGGCGCCCACATTGCTGCACCCTGCTAGTTATTGTTTATTTTTGTAGAAATGGGGTTTTGTTGGCTGGGTGCGGTGGCTCACGCCTGTAATCCCGGCACTTTGGGAAGCCAAGGCAGGCGGATCACCTGAGGTTGGGAGTTTGAGACCAGCCTGACCAACATGGAGAAACCCTGTCTCTACTAAAAATATAAAGTTAGCTGGACACGGTAGCACATGCCTATAATCCCAGCTACTCAGGAGGCTGTGACAGGAGAATTGCTTGAACCCGGAAGGCAGAGGTTGCAGTGAGCCAAGATTGCGTGCCATTGCACTCCAGCCTGGGCAACCCTAGTGAAACTCTGTCTCAAAAAAAGGGGGGGATTTTTGTCATGTTGCCCAGGCTGGTCTTGAACTCCTAGGCTCAAGAGATCCACTCACCCCACCCAGCCTCCCAAAGTACCGGGGTTACAGGCATGAACCACTATGCCTAGAATGATTTTATTTTTCATTTATGTATCTTGCTATGTTGCTGAGGCTGGTCTTGATCTCCTGGGCTCAAGTGAGCCCCCTGCCTTGGCCTCCCAAAGTGCTGGAATTCCAGGCCTTTTTCTTTTTTATAGGCGCCCTCCTAACAAGTGTGAGATGGTATCTCATTGTGGTTTGATTTGCAGTTTTCTGATTAGCAGTGCTGAGTGCCTTTTCATGTGTGTGTTGCCATTTGTGTGCACCCCCTATCTCCTGAGGGGTATTCTGGGGAGCTCTGCCCAGCCTCCACAGGGATGCCTTCAAGGAGGACTTGGCCAATAGGGCCGTGGTCCCTGCCCTCTCTCACAGCTCTTGCTTGGGTCTGTGCCCCTCCCCCAACCCCCCGCCTTCATCTTCCCCATCTCTTCTGGGGGCAGCTGGGAAAGATGGAGGTCCTAACCTATCACAACCCCCAACCACCTCACACACAGGGGCTGAGACCAGGCCAGGGCTGGCCCTGAGGAAGGAGCCCCGGGATGGCCACATCTGACCACCCAGGGCTGCTGAAGGTGGTGCCAGGGCCATGCCCCCAGTGGAAGCGCTGGATTTCGATGCAGGGGATGTGTTCCTCCAAGAGTCTGCCTTCTCTGTTCCTGTGCTGTGTGAACATGGTGGGGGGCAGGGGTGCCTGCAGCCCCCTTGGGCTAGGGCCGTGCACCCCCACACACATGTGCCAGGTTGGGGTTCCAGGATATGGTCAGTGCGTGCTTCAGTGGAAAGGGCCCAGGCGGCCCCGGTGCCTGATGACATCATGGGCCTTGCTGTATGTCCTGACAAGCAAAGGCAGGAGCTCCTGGTACCAGGGAGAACAGAGGCCCCCTCTGTCCTTCAGGGGATCCTGGTGCTCTTTAGACCAAGACAAAATATTAGCATATCAGAGAAGTATACTTAGGGTTTTCTAAGTGCATTTCCGCAACCAGCTGGTCAGCATCACCTGTGAGCTGGCCACGTAAGTCTCTGCCTCCACACCAGACCTACCGAATGACCCTCCTGGGTGGTTCTGGCTTTCCAGGTGGTTCTGAGAGAGGTTTGACAAGTTTGACGACCAGTGCTCTGGAAGCAACCTTAGCCTGATTTGAATTCCTTATTGGTGTGAACGCTTAACTTTTAGGAACGGGTATCTTATTGATTGATTGAGACGGAGTCTCACTCTTTTGCCAGGCTGGAGTGCAGTCGTGCGATCTTGGCTCACTGCAACCTCCGCTTTCTGGGTTCAAGCGATTCTCCTGCCTTAGCCTCCCGAGTAGCTGGGACTCCAGGTGGCCGCCATCACACCCAGCTAATTTTTGTGTTTTTAGTAGAGATGGGGGTTCACCGTATTGACCAGGCTGTTCTCGAACTCCTGACCTTGTGATCCGCCCGCCTTAGCCTCCCAAAGCGCTGGGATTACAAGAGTGAGCCACCGCGCCCGGCCAGGAACAGGTATCTTTATCGCAAAGAAATCCGAAGCAATTAGGGGAGCTACCTACACTTTCAAAAGGACTTTATTTAAATTTAAAAAGGGGGTGGAGGGCAGGTGCAGTAGCTGATGCCTGTAATCCCAGCATTTGGGAGGCCCAGGCGAGAGGGTCGCTTTAGTCCAGGAGTTCGAGACGGAGTGCAGTGAGCTGAGATCCTGCCACTACACTGCAGCCTGGCAACAGTGAGACCCCTGTCGCGACACAAAAACCAAAAAGGGGTAGGAAAGCAGTAACAAGCACAGGTCTCCTCAGCACGTGGGTGGCGGCATCCGCCTCCAGGCGCCAGTGTCCTTCGGCTCCCTTCCCCCCGCCCCCCCCCCCCACCCCGCCACCTGGGCGATCCCAGCCCTGCAGCGCTGACGGTGGCGGCGGGAAGGCTACCCGCCCCCGGCAGAGGGCTCCGCGACAGCTG